AGGCCTTGGCAGCCTGAGGTCTCAAGGCACAACTCCTTGCACCGGGACATGGTCGCCACCAGCGATGGGTGGTAGTAGTCGTAGTAGGATGCCTGCGTGTCCGTGCTGTTGGCTCCGCGGCAGGCCCTGCCCACCCCGCCCTCCACGGGCTGGAAAGCATCCGCCGAGCCCGCCAGCTCCTCCAGGCCCAGCGGCATCAGCCTGTCGACATATTATGCCCAGCCCTGGTCCCTGAAGGCATGCGACAATCCATACGAATTGAATGCGGATGAGAAGCTGCAAGCAGATGGAGCCCGGCTCTGGAAATGTGCTCTGCACCTGGTGCAGCCAAACTCGGCACCGGAAGCGCTGTTGGCTGAACTCCACACCTGGCAAAGAATCAGCAACAAGACAGCAAAGAGCGGGTGACCAATGCACAGAAGTAGAATCCTGACTGCAAAGTCGGTCTAAACACTTCCGACTATGGTCTAGCATAGTCTAGAACATGCCTTCTTAGGCAAATCAAATTCAACTGTTGTTGAAAAGGCTACACTGCAAACAATAAGATCAAGGGTTGACGATTCTCGTATTGCGATACCTCGGATGGCTTGGAAAGGGTCCTGTATGTGATGATAGGCCTAGCGCTTAATGAGATCTGTCTCTCGGGTGTAGCATGCTGGCACCCTGCATGATAGCACTCGAGGAAGCACGGAGCAGCCTTGCCTGTGCAGCCTGGAGTTGCCACACAGCGACTTCGGCAGGCATCTAAGTTGGAGACTTGGGAGAAGCTGTATTCCTGACTTCTGACGAGAGACATGCATGTTAAAACCTCAAACTTCAATCCCACTGCATAAGAAGACCAACATGTCTACAGCTGATGTGGCAAGACTCCGTGTAGTCGCTGCTTGTGCCACCGCATGCTCGGTTCCGGCCACCGTCCAGAGGCACAAAAGGCTCGTAGCGCTGGCAGACCCATGTGCTGGCCGTGGCCGTGGCTTCGATACCAGACGGTCGCGTCCACAGGCGGCAGGCACCGGACGCTGTGTCAAAGGAGATGCCTTTGCAGGTGCCCGTGGTCTCACTCAGCCTGGCACACTGGTCCTGGCAGTCCTCCAGTGAACTGGCGGAGCTCTTGCTGTAGTAAGAGTCCTGCAAGTCCGTTAAGGTCGCTCCGCGGCAGGCCCGACCCACGCCCCCGTCCACGTCACGGAAGGGCTCGAAGCTGTGGCAGGTATCTCCGGAACCTCCAGGTGATGCCGAGAGCTCGCCGGAGCCAAGCCAGATTGCGCAAACAGAGCCGAAGCTCACTCCTCGGCAGCCAGGCGTAGAAGCACATCTCACTTGGCAGTCATAGAGCGAAGGCGCCATCTCTAAGCCAACAGGGAAATCCACCAATCCAGCCCCAGAGCAACTGCCAGAAGTTCCCCCACTGAGTGCTGTGAAGGCATGGCTGTCATCAAAGGCATCAGCCCCACCATAGCTCATGCACAGGGAGCCACGAGTGTAAGTGGAGGCCTGGATGCCCCCTCGCCGAGTCCAGACTTCACATCGCCCATCCCGATATTCAATTCCCTTGCAACCAGCTGTTGTGGAACATAGGACTTTGCATTCATCTACCGTTGTTCCACTGAAGAACTTGTAGTAGCTGCTGAAGCTGTCCAAGGGATCAACACCACGGCAGGCCCGGTCGGTGCCGCCCTCGATATTAATGAAAGGCAGGTAGCGAGTGCACAGGGATCCTGGAGAAGGGGCCACGGCTCCGATCCCTTCAGGTCTTATCCAAACCTCGCACCACCCTCGATACTCGATACCTCGGCAGCCTGGGGTGGTCATGCAAAGTGACTTACAAGAGTCCAGGGTCGGAGCCTCGGCTGGTGAGTAAAGGTTGTAGTAGCTGCTCTTTGTGTCTGTTGGACTGCTTCCACGGCACACGCGGTCAGAAAACCCATCCAAGCTTTGAAAAGGCGAGTACCTCAAACAAGCTCTGCCATCTGCACCGACCGAGGCTTGGATGCCGCCGGCAAGCGTCCAAATCTCGCAAGCACCAAGACGAAACTCGATCCCTTTACAAACAGCAGTTCTCATGCAAAGCCTCTGGCATGCGTCCATGGAAGAGTTCTCTGGCCAGAGGGTGTGCACGGTGTAGTGGCTGTCTAGGTTGTCGTTCTCGTCCTGTCCTCTGCAGGCTCGGTTCATTCCACCATCCACATTTTCGAATGCAGAAGCACTCTGAAGAGGATCAGGGGCCCCATAGCGCAGGCATCGCGCCCCTGCGGTGGGTTTGGTGGCCTGGATACCCTGGCTGCGGGTCCAGACATTGCAGCCCTCGGCGGAGAAGTCGAGGCCTTTGCACTGCTCCGTGAAGGCACACTTTAACTTGCAATCTTCCAGCGTGGGCACCTCGGCTGTGGTGTAGGCTCTGTAGTAGGAGCTTCTGACATCATCTTCGTGGGAGCCCCTGCATGACCGGTCAACACCGCCGTCCGCCGCAATGAAGGGCTGGTAGCTCACACACTGACTTCCTTGATTTGCTTGGCTGGAGAACTCCCCTGAAAAGATGAAGCAGTTGTTGGTAGCATCCAAGCTAACCCCTGCGCACCATTCGGAGTCTTGGCACATCATCTGGCAAGAAGCTAGGCTGTTGGCAGCCACGGCACTCGGCTGCGGAGTGCCGACGCACAGACGATCCTGAGAGCCGTCCACGGGTCGGAAAGGCTGGAAGAGCAGGCAGGTTGAGCCAGGCTGTGCAACTGTGGCCTCCACGCCTGCGCTGCGTGTCCAGAGCTGGCACTCCGAAGATGTGAACTGCACTGCATTGCAGCCAGCCGTGCGGACGCAGAGGCCCTTGCATGCCTCCAGGGATCCGGCCTTGTCTGGGCCCACGGAGGTGTAGTAGCTGGGCTGCAAGTCATCCCTAGTGGCTCCGCGGCAAGCCCGATCATCCCCATCAACTTGCCAGAAAGCATCCAGCAATTCCAGGGAGTTGAAGTTGCCGAAGCGCATGCACAGAGATCCCACGCTTGAAGCTGTCGACTGGATACCTCCCTGACGGGTCCAGACCTTGCAGTTGGCCTTGGTGTACTCCACGCCTCGACAGCCGGGAGTCGACATGCAGCGACTTTTGCACTCTTCAATCGAAGGGCCCGAGGACCAGGTGTACTCGTAGACGGTATAGTAGCTGGGCCAGTCGTCATCTGCATCTACTCCACGGCATGCTCGATCCACTCCACCATCCGCAGCAACGAAAGGCTCGTACCTCATGCAAGTGGTTCCTGGTGACGCCACACTGGACATGATCCCTGAGGCTGTAGTCCACACCTCGCAGGCGGTGCCCCCGCTGACGTTGTACTCAATTCCTTTGCATCCCGGCTCTTCAGCGCAGGCGCTTTGGCAGTCTGCCAAGGAAGGTGCTACCAGCCCCAGGAAGTTGGAGTCCGCGTTGTCAGCCTCGTTGCTGCCGCGGCAGGACCGATCGCTGGAACCGTCCATGAGCCGGAAGGGACGGTAGCTAAGGCAAGTCAAGTCAGGGGATGGGGCTGTGCTTTGGGGCAGCCTCTTCCAGATCTGACATCCGTGGATGCTAAACTGAAGGCCTTGGCAGCCTGAGGTCTCAA